GGATCTCCCAGAGAAGATCTCTCCTTGTCACAAACAAGGAGAGCCCTGAGGTGGCAGCGGCTGACCGCCTGGAGGGTTCTCAGCTGCCCAGCAGGAAGCGTGAGGAGGCCAGGCAAGGGGAGGGAGCCGCAGAGATCAGCACAACAGCCCCGGAAGATAAACCACTTGTGTGTTGCTAGGAAACAACTGCTTTAGCAGAAGTTGACACCCTATGGTCAACATTAAAGACCTACATACAGGTAGGGCTAAGGCACTAGACTTCTGATGCTTATACGGGGATAAAAAATACCGGTGGCGAATTTGAAACCAAGCCCCAATATAAGACAATTGTGGAAAGGGGGCTACAGTTAAGGTGGGAGTAGGGTAAAGGACGCTCACTCCTGAGAAATCAAAACCACAGCCTTGCATGACCTATGGGTGTAGAGACCAGATTTACACGACTTGCAAAGTGTAGGCGCCTCATACTGAGCAACTGGGAGGATCACTGTCCAGATTTATTCCAATTCCAGGCATCCCTGCTGAAGCAAACAAGCTGTTCTAAAGAGACTTACAATCCAATAAGCACGCACCTTCATAAAACAACCCCTGCTGAAGATAAATAGGCAATAAAAATTTTCACACTATACATGGTTACAAACCATCAAGAGGAAGGGTTAACAGACACAACAAATGAGAATGTGTACCCCAAGATTAGAGGTATTAGAAAAAAATCTGAAGTACACTGTCAAAGAATTATGCATAGAATGAATAGGATTTTTAAAGTCGACACCGTAATGAAAAGAGAGGAGAGTGCGGGGTGGGAGGAACAGGCACATTTGAAAAAGAACCAAGTAGAAATGAAAAACAGAGACAATTTATTTAAAAATTCAGTAGCTGGCTCAAATAGCAGTTTCGACACAGCTCAAGAGAGAGTTAGCGAGCTGGCAGATTGATCTGACAACTCACCCAGAACACTGCACAGAGAACTAAAGAGATGGAAAATACGGGACAGCAATTGAGGCACATGAAGAATGGAATGCTAAGGTCTAAGACAAGTCCAGTAGGAATTCCAGGGCAGATTAGTGAAATAGGAAGAGGCAATATTCAGAGATAATGGCTAACAATTTTCCAGAATATAAAAGATGAATATTCAATTTGAAGAAGTACAAATCCTGAACTGTATGATTAATAACAAATCCATACTTAGAAGCACTGTAGAACACCAACGGCAAAGAAAAGCATCTAAAGAAAATGAAGAAAAATTAAAGATTAAATCCCAGACCTCGCACTTAAAAGACGTCAGAGGCATAATGTATGAGTTGAAATAGCTGGTTCTGAAATCCAGCTCTGCCTCTTAGAAGGTACACTCCAGGTGAATATCTCACCTCTCTGATTCTCAGTTTCTCACTCTAGTAAACTGGATGCCTACCTCCGGTGACTGTTGCAGGGTAGGTTAAATGACAGTAGATGGACGCCCAGATGTAGTGATGCAGCATGCGACACACATAAGCGCTTTAGAAATGTCAGCTGCTGCTGTTCTTATGGCTGAGCCACTGAGCGCATTACGTCACTCGTATTTTTTATGCTTCTACCCCCCCAGAGTTCAGGGTAACCACAGCAACTAGAAAGTGTGTTGCTGGGTGGGGGGGGGGGAATATGAGGGGAAGCCCTTGTATTAAACTCAGCCCAAACTCTGGCTTGACCCCTAAACCATGCCCCTGTGTGGTAAACTCCAGCATAGCTGAGGCTAGGAGAACTGAAATGAGATTTGGGGTGCTATCCACTACAGGAGAGACAGTGGGAACAGTTGGACTTCAATTTAAATGCCTACTGAAATAAAACAAAACAGAACAAAGAAATCAACACTCTTTGGAGGCATATAGCAGAATTCAGAGATTTTTACAGCACATAATATTCACTATATCCAGGTTACACTCCAAAATTACTCAGTAAACATAGAAACAGAAAACTTGAACTAGCTAAAAAACATCAAAGCATATTGAAAGGATCAAAATTTTAGAATTACAGACAAGGATTTTAAAACAACTATTATAAAATGCCTATGGATATAAAAGAAAATATGCCTATAATGAGTGAAAAGATAAGAAATCTCAGCAAAGAAATGTTAACTATAAAAAGACACGAAATAAAAATTCTAAAATTGAAACAATATCTGAAATTTAAAAATTCACTGAGCGGACTTAACAGAATGGAGATGACAAAACAATGGCCAAAAATTCCCCAAACTCGGTGAAAGAAACAAATATATAAAATCAAGGGTCTCAGCAAACCTCAAGAAGATAAACACAGTTGGCCCTTGAACCACACCAGGGTTAATCCAAGTATAACTTATAGTCTGTCCTCCAAATGCGTGGTTCCTTTGCATCCACAGATTCAACCAACCACAGACCATGTGGCACTGAAGTATTTCTTACTGAAAAAAGACCTGTATATAAGTGGGCCTGCACAGTTCAAGTCCAAGTTCTTCAAGAGTCAACGGTACACAGAAAACCACACTTAGACACCTCACAGTCAAACCGCTGATAACCAAAGAGAATCTTGAAAGCAGCAAAGAAAAACAAAAATTACGTACAAGGAGTAATGATTTGAATGTCCCCTGACTCCTCACCAGAAATAGTGGAAGCAGAAGACCGTGGAAGCACACCTTTAAAGGACTGAAAGAAAAAACGTCAATCTAGAACTTGACATCCGGTGAAATATCTTTCAGGGAGAAAGATGAATGAAAGACACTGTCAGACTAAAAAGGAACCAAAAAAGCACACACACTAAGAATTTATTTTTTAACACACTCTTTTAAATATTGCCAGCAAATGTGGACTGAAAGAAATGCTCAGTGAAGTCCTACGGGCGGAAGAGGAGTGGTACCACTTGGAAACTTTACCTTCAAAAGGAATCAAAAGCATTGGAAACAGTAAATATGTGGGTAAATGTTTTAAAAACTATTTTTCCTCCTGATTTTTCAAAACACACACAATGGTTTAAAGCAATACAAATCAAAACTTATAACTTCGTATTGGAGAATTTATAACACGTAGATGTACTAGGCAATAAAAACGGCCACATAAAGTAGGAGGGTAAGAAACGGAACTATACAGTTGTCAGTTTTCAACATCTTACGTAAAGTGGTGCGTTATTAACTCTAAGTAGACTGCTTCTGTCTCCACGGCTAGACTTGGAGGCCCTTACGCCCTGGGACCACGTCACATGACGCCTGGTACACAGCCTACACTTAATACATAGCAGTTTCTATAGAAGTCAGTCTCCCAAGACTTTGACTACCTGGATTCAATTCATGAGAGTCTAACAGCCCCTGAGAAGCTGAGAAAATCTAGCTTCCACCAAAAGAAACATGAGGTGCAGCAACTAGCCTAAAGCCACCTGGAGCCGCACGCACAGCGAGTTATTAAGAAACCGAGACATTAATTCATTCGCCTCTGCTTGCAAAAATGAGAGGTCTTAGTTTCAGGACAGAACGCAGGTCAAGACTACCACATAACTGCTACGATAAAATGAATACATTTCAACATCCAATACAAAGCGCATGAGTTCCTCAAAAGTATTCCACCAGCCTAACGATGAATATAGTAGATTTAAATTTTGGAGATTCATATTAAGTAGGTAAAGAGGGACAGAGGGAAGAAAGACATGTAAAATTCACTGGAAATACTAAGAAATCTGAATTACAGGGATTTTTGTTTTAAGAAGTGGAATTACAGTTTTAGTGCTGTACGGAACAAAGAACCAGCTTATCACACGGCTACCTCCCTGGGAGAGTTCTGCATTAATAGACCGCTGGTGGCCAATCAGAGCCAAAGAGGACCGGCCTCCTTTACATCCCTGGTTGGTCACATACTCTCCAACTGCAGCTCTGACCTCACCAGCGAGTCTGCAAATGCACAGCCGTCACCTGGCCTCACTATGGACAGCTCAGGACGGCACGTCCCCCAGTGTGGCACAGGGAAGGGACATTAACTATCACTAAACCACACAGTGGGAAAGTTATTCTCTTCTCAATTCTCTGATTCATCAAAGAAAGTTTCATTTCGACTAGCGTGTCTTCAACACTTCCCTAAAACTGGTTCATCTTCCTTTCGAACACAGAGCAGGGCTCACACTCAGAATCCTTCGCAGACAACTGTGTCTACCTAGAATTTTATCATGTGATTTTACTTTTGTCTTATGATATTTTGGTTAAGTTTCATGTTGAGCAATTCATACAAGTTCCCCAAAATGTGTTTCAATAAAAGAAATTATTTGATACAAAGAAAAATACAGGTGGTATATAGATACAGCACAAATGGGAAAAGCGGTACACAAATGACAGACTTCTGAAAAATACTGGATTGGTATAATCCAAGGACAATATTCCCTACTAAGAGCATCACATTCATATGTGAATAATAGTATCTTTTACTCCAAGTTCCAAATACAGGTAAACATTGTCCTTTGTGTGGATCAACATCCTGGCCCCTTTCAAAATCCTACTTGAATCCAAATTGATGAGATTATCAGTCAGACTATTACTATTTACTCGTAAATGATGTGTTAAATTTTTTGAGCTACTCCATAAAAGCACCAGAGTTTACTAAAATGTACATGCAAGGCAGATTTGGAGCCCCTTGCCACAAAGTGAATGAAAACAGCCAGCATCAACATCAGCTCTTCCACGTCGACTCTGACAGTATTCTAACCAGATACCGTGATTAATAACCTCTTCCCCTGATACTAAGTCTTCAAAGACAAACTAAATCAATCAAGAGCTGATGAACTATGTAACAGAGCAGTTACTGAGTCTCAGCACGACTGGCCCTTGAACCACATTCCAACAGCCCGACGCCGGGCTGCTCTGTGCACTACAGCGCACTCCGCAGCCTTCCTGGCCCCAACTCACTAGATGCCAGGAGCACCCTCTCCCCACCTTGTGAAAATCAAAAACGTCTCCAGACACTGCCACAAGTCCCCAGCTGACAACCACTGTGAAGATAAAAGCTAGGTGTTACCTGAGCAGCCCCTGGTGAGTGGATGGTCCCATAAGGGAAGGGGCTTCATGTCAGCAGGAATGACCTGGCCCCCTTTGGCCTCTCTGACCTCATCGCCCACCCCTGCCCTCTCCTCCAGCCACGCAGCTCCTCGCTGTTTCCCCACGACCCCAGTCACTTCCCCGGCTGAGGGCCATCACACAGCCCAGCACTTCCCTCTGCCGAGAACTCTGCTCCCCAAGATGTCCTCTTTGATAACTTCCTTCTTCTCAGTAAAAGCTTTGCTCACTCATCCTCTCAATGAGGTCCACCCTGACTACCTGATTTTGAAATTGCATGCCTCCCATCTACACCCCACCGTACCCTGATCTACTTTTCTATTTTTCCAGAGAATGTATCACCTTCTGACACACAGAACGTTTTCTTCCCACGTCTACTGTTTATCAGCTGGGTCCACCCCCCAATCCTCCACCATCGCACCCAGGGCAAAAATCTTTTACTGACTCCTTGATATGCCTGGTGCACAGCAGGCTATCAGTAAGAGCTGCTGAATGAATGAATGAATGAATGGTAAAGATCTGTCAGGCTAGGGGCTTCCCTGGTGGTGCAGTGGTTGAAAGTCCGCCTGCCGATGCAGGGGACACAGGTTCATGCCCCGGTCTGGGAGGATCCCACATGCCGCGGAGCGGCTGGGCCCGTGAGCCATGGCCGCTGGGCCTGCGCGTCCGGAGCCTGTGCTCCGCAGCGGCGGAGGCCACAGCGGTGAGAGGCCCACGTACCGCAAAAAAAAAAAAAAAAAAAAATCTGTCAGCCTAGCTTGCTGCGCCTCCTGGCAGTGGCAGCAACACATAAAATAACTCCTGCTCTCAGAAAGAATTATCTAGAATTTACATTTCTAGCCACTGCTAAGAGGGCAAACAGGCAACTATTCACGGAATAAGGAACAACGGTCTGTGGACACGGTGATATCAGGAGCAGTCGATTATCCTGAGGATCCACAAGTCCAGGTCATCCACACACATCAGGAGTCTTAAGCATTCAAGCTAGAAATGAAACATGAGGTAGCGTATGAATAATGCCTTGTTCAAATTTTTTCATTATATTTTCCTACATTTGAAAAAAAAAAAAGTTACCTACTCCACTCAAGAAAGCTTAACATAATACAGAAAAGCAAACCCTTCTTAAGAAAATAGTCTCTAATACCTTCAAGCCTTCTTGGCTCACTTAAAATATTTTAGAAACAATACTGATCCTGATCCGCTTCATTTGCTGTCTCCGCGATGACGGACTTCAGGCAGCAGCTGCCTTCTATGTTCCTGCCACGTGTGAGCTTCACTGGCAAGTTTGCACAGGACATCACTGACCCTTTACCAAAAATGGCTAATAACTTAAACCTAACAAAGACCAGCAAGGGAAAGGCTGAGAAGTGCGATTTGACTTGCAGGGGTAGGGGCCCCTCCTGCCACACCCTCTGCTCAGCACCCTGTCCCCAGCTGCACACCCACGTGTCCACATGCTCCCTGAACCGTAGGGTCCACGTCCCCGTGGCCCTGGTGCATCTCAGGGCCAGGGGGATGGTCCAAGTTAAAAAAGCCAGCTAACCAGCTAAAAGATATAAAGCTCACCTCCATCCAACCCAAACCAGAGGGTCCTGAAGCAGTAGCCTTAAGCTCACCCAACTGAAGATGAGGCTGGCTCTACTTCAATGAGATACTGATCAGTTTACAAAGTACAACAGAATTATTATCCTTTGATTCTGATGCTAGGTGACTAAGTAAAAAACAGGCGAACAAACAAAAACCTCCTCCCTCATTAAATGTGTTTCTGGAAGCTACAACCGTGGGGGAATAAACGTTTTTCACTTTCCCAGATCCTCCTCAACACTAACTGGTTACTCAGGGGTTATCTACCAAACATCATGCACACTGTCAGTAGAGTCATCATTTAAAACAGGCGGGGGGCGGGGGGGGGGCTTCCCTGGTGGCACAGTGGTTAAGAATCCGCCTGCCAATGCAGGGGACATAGGTTCGAGCCCTGGTCCGGGAAGATCCCACATGCTGCGGAGCAACAAAGCCTGTGCACCACAACTACTGAGCCTGCGCTCTAGAGCCCTCGAGCCACAACTACTGAGCCTGCAAGCCACAACTACCGAAGCCCGCGCGCCTAGAACCTGTGCTCTGCAACAAGAGAAGCCATCGCAATGAGAAGCCCATGCACCGCAACGAAGAGTAGCCCCGACTCACCGCAACTAGAGAAAGCCCACGCACAGAAACAAAGACCCAACACAGCCAAAAAAATACATAAAAAAATAAAAAATAAATAAAACAGGCTGGGGCGCAACATAAGTTGGGTGAGGTTGCTCTGGCGAAAACACACAGGGGACCCTGAGCACGCGCCTGTGTGTCAGTGCTCTTCACAAGACACCAATCTGTCTTAAACCAGCCTAAGTATGAATTAACGCTTTAAGTATAATGTTAGGTGAATGTGCTTTACAGGTTCAAAGTACAATAGATACGATCTAATAAAAAGAGAGAAAGAAAAGAAATTTTCCAGGTCATTTTGCATCACAAAAAAGATCAGAAGATCTAGTACAAAAAACAGAAGGCGTGTTAACAGCAAACCCATCTCAAACGTCCTCTCCCCACCCACCAGGGTTAATTTCAGGTGACAACAGTAAACCATAACTCAACATTCGACAGAGTACTGGCGGTTCAGAGATGACAAAGGCATGGTCCCCAGACTCCAAAAGCTCCCAAGGGAACAAAGATCTTCCCACACATAACAACCCACAACACCCCGGTGGCAAGAGCCATAGGGTACAGGTATAAACAAGACAGGGAGGAGACCAGCTCTGCTTGGAGGAGGAAGGAGGGGGTGGGAGATGCTTCCCTACAACAGCAGTGATATTTGAGCTGGGCCTTGAAGATCGAGTAGGAGTTTACCACACAGGAAGAGACAGAGGATCTGGGAAAGGGAAAAAGAACATTCCAGAGGAAGGGAAGAACACAGCAGAGGGAAGTGCACTGGCTGTCTGCTGCCTTTGAGGGGTTCGGGAAGCCAGAGATTTCTCACGAAGCCACCAAGCCCTAGCTGAGCAGCCACCCCAGAACTGGTCTGAAGTGGAAAGGTGAGAAAAAATAAACACAATAAAACATGTCCAGTGAGATAACTTTATTGGCCCAGACATGAACAGAGGTAGAGACGGAGGCAGAATGTTAGAGCACGTCTATTCCGGCAAGCATTTTCATTAAGAATCCGTTCTCCAGGCATTCCCAATATTTACGATTCTCCATTCAACATGTCATCCTGTCACTATAACTCTGTGTGAGATACGCCACCCTGGGCCAGCCCAATTATCCATACAATCCAATATTCTGTCTCTAACACAGCACTAGGGGACGATGGTTGGGAGAAAACATGACAGATGTGACCCACTGTCTGTGTCCACTTCAAAATGTTAGAAGATTAGTTGATGGTGGCTGAGAAGGAGTCTAGCCTTATTTGCAAAATGTGTACTTAAAAAAAAAGAGAGAGAGAGAAAACTGTATTAATGTAGAACTTATGTAATTGATAATTCTTAGCGCTTCTCATTAGCCACTCTTCGATGAACAATAACTAAGTCTCTGCAAGGCCTTATATGATTTGGGGGGAAACTAGAGTAAACCATCCATTAATGTATTATTTAAAGTGGCTTCATCCTTCTTGCTAACAGGCTTATAAATACTAATGCAGATTCTTAAATTGGGACTATTTCTAAAAGCTACGCCAGACAAACCCAGCCCATGTGAAAGATAAAGAACGTTCTTGCTTCTTCACTGACTTGGGGGGGGGGGTGCGGAAGGTGGAACTGACCCCTGCACACGGCAGGTCTTTGTTGACTTAACTAAATTTCAATGGCAAGCTGCGCAGGCAAACTTTCCCTGTATAAATGCCATTCTCTAACAAGACCCACACTGATTTATTAGCTCCTGTATGAGCGGATCCGTCCAGTGCATAACGTTTTGTATCACAAATCTTTGAGGGCTACTGATGGTTATTACTAGCATTACGCAGTGGGCTGGCTGAAAAGACCGACCCAGCTCACGAGCAGCCGTCCTTTCTATACCATGCATACATGGAAATTCCTCTTTGATTTGTGGCTTTAATCACGGCTTCCAAAACCCGTCATTATTTATGATTCTGACTTTTACACTGACGGTCAACGGGAAACACTGACTCGGGTCACCTGATAGGCGAGCACTCTGCAGCTCCAAGCCGCTCGTGGGCTCCACTGTGATATTATACATCTCAATTTTCCTGCCAACCCACCCAGCTGGGGACAGAGCTGGAGGAGGTGTGGGTGAGGGGGCCAGACTCTACACAGTCTGATGGATGGAAGAGCGCTACTGAAAAATGCAGCGACTTCTCCACTCAGACTTGAGGCAGATTCGAAAAGGAAAAAAAGGTTGCAAAACAAAACCCACAGCCCCTGGGGTGAGTGTACGCGCGTGGGGGGCTCTATTTTCCTACTGTTCAAAATATTTGAGACAATCAAGCAATACTGGCCAACATTACACCACTTTTCTAATGACCGCCTTGGCCAAACTGCCAGGAAGGTCGCCTTCCTCCTTCTGGAAAGAAGCAAACTCCTCCGCGGATGCACGGAGTTCCATGCCTGTCTTACACGGTCCAACCCCGCCATCACCCTCCCCTCCCGCTCTCTGCCATCTTCCCCTTTGCACGGACTCCTTCCCCCCATCCACAGTTATGCTCTCCCCTGTGCCTTGATCTTAAAAAGCAATTCTTATTTTTTTAACTGAAGTATGCCATACACACAGAAAAGTACACAAAAAGTAAGTGTTCCACGTGACTAATTTTTTAACTGAACATGCCTGTGAAACCAGTCCTCAGCTCAAGGAAGACAATTTAACCGGCATCTCCAAAAGCCCCCCATGCTCCCTCCCACTTACTGCCTTACCCAAAGGGGACCACTCTCCTGCCTTCTACATCAGATCAGCTAGATTGCTGTGCTTGTTTCCATACTCTGTGTAAACAGAATCATCCAGTCTCTACCCTTTTGTGTCTGGCTTCTTTCACCAACCACTA